GGACAAACCAGTGCCCAGACACACCCAATTAGAGAGCAGGGGCCGGCCCCGCCCAGAGACCTCATTGCCCAGATCGTCCAACTGGAGCCGAACCCCACCCCCACCAGATCAGCCCTAGCCTGGAACTTCAAAGTGGTTTATTTTGTTCCTTCTGCATTTGGATTCCAGGAATATTTAATGGGGTGCGTTAGAGCAAAACAGCCATAACTTGCAGGCAGCTTTTCTCTCCAGATTAAACAGGTGCATAATCCCTCTTTAGCCAAGCTGAAGAGGCCGCAGCAGCTGGGGGCTCCCCGTCTCTGTGGGCCCCTGCACAGACACTTTCCTCCTGTCTCTGGGTCTCCCCAAACGTTCCTCTGTTCAAGCCCCCCTCCGCCACCCGCCCGCACCCCCAGCCGTCCTGGGCCACTGCAAACACTGCACTCCCTCACGATGCTGAGCAAACCCACTTTGGCTGTGAGAGATTAACATAAAAAACGTTTCCCTGTTGGCAGTGCTTTGGCTGCATGCACGTGACTTCAGCGGGAAATGTGTTAAGCCCAGTGGGAGTCAGGCCGGGACAGGTGCGTGGAGCCATCTAGGTGAGCTCTCCCTCCTCCCCCTCCAGGGTTAGGGAATGTTCCCGCATCTCCGCAGGGACCATCTGGAGGAAAACCAGCCCCGCCCCACCCATGAGGGGCAACGGGAGCCCTTGAAGGCCTTCTGCCCTGGTGCGGGCTGGGGGGCTCTCCTGGCCTGCATGCGTGTTCTTTGCCACCCTCTCTCTTCTGGAAGTTTCACCATCATGCTATAATGGAAACAGCATGGTCAGAGAGGCTGGTGGCCCCTGGCATTGTGGCCGAGCAGTGATGGATGGGCCTGAGGACGGAGCGGTGGCCCACGTGGTCGAACCTCCTGCTGGGCTCCAAAACAGGGCTGTTAGCACAGCCTGACTCGGATCGTTTATCTCCAAGTCCCAGGGGATTTTTAAACAGCTGTGGAGCAGACCTTTTCCAGAGGGAACGTGGTTCTGGTTTGTGGTAAGAAAAACACATACCGCCTGCACCCCAAAACCCAGGCCTGGATTCCTGGAGCATCAGGCCCGCTGTGCACCCCGGGATGCTCCCATTCTGAACCTCCTCCCCAGTGGCTGTGCCATTCAAGCCGGCCTGGGGCTCAAACTCGGGACACGTGGAGGTGGAGGGCGTTTTTCTCTCTCCCGGCTGGCACTGCCTCTTTTCTGCTAAACCCCTGGGGGAGCAGGGCTTGGCAGCCACACCTGTGCCAGTCGGCATCATGCCACTGGCCAGGCAGCATCTTTCTTTCCACAGATGCAAAATCATTTTCTGTTATTTCCCTACCTCTCCTCCTGCTTCTTTCCCTGCCTGATTTTCTGCTTTCCGGAAGCCCTGGGAGGACTTGTTCCAGGGAAGGCAGGATTCGATCTGGGGTAGGTGCCCAGCCCTGGTGCTGGCCTGAAGACAAGGGCAGAGTGCAGCGGCTGTGAGAGCAGCCCTCTCCTGTCCCTCTGCAGCGAGTATGGCACGTGGCGGCCTCCTCTTTGGTGTCCTTCTGTGACCTGCTGGAAGCCCAGCATGACCTTTGGGTACCTCATGAAGACAGTCATGGGGAGGAGAGGCTGAGTGGGAGCAGGGACAGGGCTTGGTCCTGAGGAGGGGGTGGGAGGTGGGCCTTGCTCACTCTGGCTGGGCGCCCCTGGGTTTCCAGAGGAACCTGAGTGGGGCCAGAGTGGGACAAAGCTCACAGTGAGGAGGAGACAGACACACTCAGAGGAGGAGAATTCAAGTATGTGAACATCAGTGCATCAGAAGCTGATCATCAGTGAGCTACCACGGCCGGAGGGGAGCCGAGGCAGGAGGATAGGTGTGGGAGCCGCAGGGAGGCTGAGTGGGAGGGAGGGAGGGAGAGGGTGGAGGGGCCCCACATCCACCCAGCACCCCAGAGCCACTCTCACCACTGCCTGATGGGGCTGGACTCTGGGGAGGGACCTGGAGGCTGGACCCCCAGAACACACACACACGCACATGCGCACGCACACACACACACACACACACCCCTTCCAGAAATGCCAACCCAAGTTGGAGCCAAGGGGAAAATGCCTTCCCTATCCACCTTGCCCACCTCAGGGACCGTCTGCAGAGAGGGGTCTCTCAGAGCTGGTGTGGCCACCTGGGCCTGCCAAGCAGTTGTGTTCACATGAACAGGAAGATTCTAGATTCAGCCATGAGCTCCCACCATGCAGACCTTGGCCTTCAGAAGATTCCCTGCTCTTCCTGCCTGGTCTGGATCCAGGTGGGGGCACAGGAGCCTCTGGTGGACAGAGACCTCAGGAAATCAGGAGGAGCCTGGGGTGGTCCCAGCTGTGTCTGAAACTGGAGTGGTTTACCCAATAGGAATTATGGAACCCAGCTGGGATTCACTTCTGCATTGGCCTCCGAGCTGTCTCTACAGGGAGAAAAATTTCCATCTTGGGGCTGTCAGCCCAGGTATGATCTCTGAGGATGGCATAAGCAGGCTTCTTGGGGACACAGCGCCCCTTGCTGGGACTTCCCCATCACCTCCTCAACTGAGTGGCGACCCTGGCGAGGCCCAGCTGCTCCCCTCCTCTGGGCTCCACCTTGTACCGTATCCCTATGTCCCCTCCCTCTTCCTCCCTGCCTGGTTTTCTGCTTTTCTTCCCTGGGATGCCTTGCTTGTGGGAGGGCAGGATTCGGATCCGGGGTAGGTGCCCAGCCTGAAGAAGATAAGTACAGAGACCACAGGGTGTGGATGTGCAAAGAGACGACCCAGAAGTTACCTCCTTACACATTCACACAAACACACACACACACAGTCACTGTGCAAACAATCATAACCACATTACAGAACATTTAGAAAAAAAGAGGAAAAAAATCTCCCCAAGATCTCACCTCACAGAGCTGCTGCAACTATTTCCTTTTTCATATGCGAACGCTAATTTTAAACACAGTGATAGTTTTACTCTGTAGAATTGTGTGCCTTGCTTGCCTCTCTTAGTACTAAAATAAGAATTCATAAGAATTTTAGATGTGGCTGCGTAGTCTTAACAGTTATCATTTAAAATGAGAGACTAAAGTAACAGGAGATCGATGTGCCCCTGATAACAGGCCCCCACTTTGTTTTGGACATTTAGGTGGTTGCTGTTTTCTGGTTTGGTTTGGTTTTGTTGTTTTGTTTTGCTGGCTCCATAGTACTGCAATGGAGCTTCTATCACATTTCGAATTTGTCTCTGGGACAGGTGAACTACAAGTTTCTTGAGTCCTAACATAAGGCCACGGCCACCAGTGGGGGCCTCCATCTTCCAGCCCTCTGCCATCAGTCACAAGGGAAAGTGGGCCAGAGAGGGTGAGTGAAGCAGTGTCGACCCACCCCGTTGCGGGGTCAGCTCAGCCCCTTCCTTGACAAAGGATGCCACGTCACTATGTCGTTGGAGCTTCTAAGTCATTGGGTTAACTGAAGTAAAGCGAGTAGTAGGCACACCATTCTCAGCTGGCTGAGCTTTGGTGAAATGGCCTCAGCTGGGGCCACTGAGATGGTTTTTAGGGGACATTTGTGGGGCTTTTTCCATTATTTATTTATGTTTTATTTTAGATTCCAGGGTACATGTTACATGGGTATACTGTGCAATGCTGAGGTTTAGGCTTTTAATGATCTCATTGCCCAAGAAGTGAACACAGTACTTGACAAGTATATTTTCAACCCTTGTCCCTGTCCCTCCATCCAGGGCTTCTGAAATGCATCAGGCGCCCCTCCAGGTGAGCCACCTGCCCACCTTTCCCCCAGTTCTTAAGCAGGAAGCAAAATTACCACGATGAAGGTACAAGCACAACATCTAACCCTTTCTTGAGTCTCATATTTTGTATGGCTCCTGTGCTTCCATAAGTTGATAAATTTGTATGCCTTTTTTTATTCCTGTTAATCTGCCTATTGTCAATTTCAGTCGACTTGAATCTTCAGAGGGGGAAGTCACAAGAATTTATTACTCCTTGTCTGCCTAATGCTCTAGGATCGCAGAAAAATATTCTGGTGGGGCTCAGAAAACAATACCCCAAACTGTGGTGCTTTGGCCTACTGAGTGCTTTCAACAGAAGGAAATCCAAAGGCCTTAGACTCAAGCCTCAGAACAGAGGATTTTCTAACCTTCTTTCCCCAGGCATAGTGAGGGACTGTCTCTGAAGATTCCCTTATCTGACTAAGAAAATCTTCTTCCAAAAGAAATGCAATTGTCTTAAGATCCCCTCCCTAGAAATCTCATCAAATAATCAGGAAAGAGTGACCAAACGAGAAAAGACCTAAAGTCATCACACCCAGACTTTTCATCTGTTCTTCTGGGGGAAGCTCCTGGAAGACTTTATCTGCATAGTAAGACAACCTCTGTTCACCGTGCTGTTCTGCCCCTTACCTTCCCACCACCTCGGAGCTCAGGGGAGCACTGTCCCTGCTCATTGTCTGTTCTTTGGGCTCATTCAATTCCCTTGCAAATCATTTACTATTTCTCAAAATTCCCTATATCCCCTTTCTTCCTTCGTCCCTGTGAAGAGGGTAGTTAAGCCTCAACCATCGGGCCCTTCCTTGAGACTCATATTTTGTACAGCTTCTGTGCTTCTGCACATTGGTAAATTTGTATGCTTTTCTTTCCCTGTTAATCTGTCTATTGTCTGTTCATTTCAGTAGATTAAAGCTTCAGAGGGGAGGAAAAATTCTCTTTACTCCTGCAGTTCCCACCAGCAACAGTGAGGGCACAGGGCCAGGTCTGGGTGCTGGCTGGTGCTGTGTGCCCCACCGTAAGGCATTTCTCAGCTCCACATCTTTCACTTTAATTGAATTAAAGCCCGTAGGGGATATAACTCCCAGCAATGTTTGTCAATGTGGAGCATTTGAAAATGACGCAACAACTTAACAACAGAGGACATTCTTTGTCAAAATAATAGTGTAGAAACATTTTACTGATGTGACATATGCTATTTGTAATGCCTATTTGTGGGGAAAGCATAATCTCATTTTTAAATGAAAAATTACACACACACACACACAAGCCTGGGAAGCTAAAAATATACAATTAAATGTTAACAGTGTTACTGCTGGATGGTGAAGCGTGGGCTGATGGGTGAGTTTTATTGTCTTCTTTTTGCTTAACTGTATTTTCTACTTTACTATAATTAGCCTATATTCCTTGTATAATTGTTAGAAAGATGCTCTTTATAATACAGTGATATCCTTCATCTACATGTTTTCACTCTGCAAAGCTCTTTCGTAAATATGATCGTATTTGATAGCACAGCAACAGAGGAATAAGGCCAGAACGGTGTGTGTTCTTTGTGCTTTATTTTGTAGATGAGCAAAGGGAGGCTTGTCGTGCTTGCCATGGTTACCCAGCCTGTGGCTGGAGGAGCAGAAGTCAAGCCAGGGCTCCTGATGCCTGGTTCGGGACTTGCCATGGCACCATGCTCCTTCGGGTGGAATTCTCACCCTCCAGACCCTCGCGGCTCACTGGCTCCAAAAGCTATCCCTTAGACAAATTCCACTTGAAATTAACAGCACTTGCCTAGTTTCTCCAATATTGACAAGACATCTGAAAACACATCTGACTGTTTGACTGCTCTGCCTAGAACCTTCATGGGCTCCTCCTGAGTCCAGCGCAGGGGTTCTTAATTATCCAGCTTGGACATCACAAACTGGATAATCCTTTGATGTGGGGGGCAGTCCTGTGCATTGTAAGATGTTTAGCAATATCTCCGGCCTCTTTCCACTAAATGACGGTAGTACTGCCTTGGTCCTCACCTACACACCCAATTGCATCAACCAAAAATGCCTCTAGACAAAATCTCCCCTTGTTGGGAACCCGCTAAAACTCTTGGGTCTTCCAGCCTGGCCCCTGGTTAATTCCACAGCATTTCCCTCCCCAGGCCGTGTCTCACATCCGTCGGCTAGATTTCTCTTTGACCCTACAGCTTCCTGGGCCGACACTTCACGTAGGTGTGTGGAAATCACCCAGCATCTTCTCTGTCTCCTCAACAGAGTCTGAGCTCTTGAGTGCAAGGACTGTGTAATTCTCAGCTTCGAACCCCTCATGGCCTGGTCACAGGACACTGTAGACACTTCGTGTCTGGACACACTGGACACACTCCAGACACTTCGGCTGGAAGGAAGGTGGAAAGGAAAGAGAGACGGAGAGACAGTTACTTAATGTGGTACAGTAATTGAAGGCCACTTTCATGATCTAGTGATCCAGTTTTATATATTTGTTTTGAAAGGTGTGTTTACGCCTGGTTGAGTCTTTTTTCCTTTGCATTACAAGGAGGCTATCAAAGGCAGCCACAGCCAAACTTGTCTCCACCAACCAGGGAAATGGAGAGAGTCGATGATTCTGTACTTAGAACAGCAGCAGCAGGACAGGAGCCATGGCAACGTAACAGTTAACGACAGTGGTTTTCCCAGGCCCCTCTCTCTTTCAGCCTGTTTCCTAACTTTAAAATGAGAATAATACAAATGCCCGTTTTTGTGTTATTAACCTGGTGCACGTGGCCCACCCAGGACGGTCCTGGGTGTGTAAAACATTCAGCCTACTTTAACTGAGTCAGAGTCAAAATCTGAACTCTAACATTTGTAGAACCCTGTCCAGCAGCCCTGAAAAATGGGTCATCACCTCACGGGCTAATCAGCCACTGAGGGATTGCATTTCTCCACCCAAAGGCAGAAGCAAAGGAGGCAAATCCATCTGGCATCCTTCCAGAAAGGAGCCTCCAGGTCCTTTCCTCTTATTGCTTTGTTTTGCTACAACCCTTAGTGGCTGCTTTCCTCACACTGACATCTCTAATATCTCAGGGGTGTTTTGTTCTTTTCTACCTGTTTCTTCCCTGGGTTGTTCTTTGCTTCGTTCAGGGCTTTCTCCCAGGTGACCAGATCCTTCCTGTCCTGGGGTGTGTTGGGTTGACTTGGGCCATGGGGTGGCTGAAGCTATGTGTCGGGAATAAGATCTCCCACAGTGGTACCACCTAGGTGGCATTTTGAAACCCATTGCTACTCCTCTGATTCTGGCGTTTGGTTCTGAGGAAGTGGCAGTAACTGTAGCAGCCATAAAAGCCCTTTCTGTCCAGCGGTGTATCGGCAATGCCTTTGGCTTCCTTTCCCTCTGGGAATGCTGCCATTGCTGCTGCCATGGGTCTGATATCACCAGCATGGAGTCCAAGACATAAACATGAAATTTCCTGACTCTTGAGGAGACTGGCCCAGAAAAAAATATCCAAGCTTTCAGCATCTGAAAACGCTGTGCTTCCTCCGAACACGGGGTTTGTTTCAGTCCTGTGGACAGGAAGGCTCTAGCAACTATTTTCCTCATTGCTTATACTAGGTAACTTAGAGTCAAAACTGAGTGCCACCTCTCTGCACGTGAGCCAGACCATTTGGTATGCATTCCTGTGAGGTCATCTAACCATTATTTTGTGAATCACGTTCCCCTTCCGTTTCTCAATCGTTTTTATTGTTGTTATTCTGAACAAAATCTGCTGTGTGAAGTTCACAGAATCATTTCTTGACAATCAGCAACCTGGGAAATGAGCATCCCTCTGTCCCATTGTCTCCAAATCGCAGCTGAAGTTTGTAGGATTCAGCAGCCCAAACAGCTAGGATTGCTTGTGTTGTGTTTTCTATGTTCATTTAACACCCTGCCTGTGGTTTATTTTCTTTCAGTCCCAAGTGAAGCTATGCTAGTTTTCATAGCACTTTATGGGACTCAATAGCCAGGTGCATTTCTGTTAAGACAAATGGTTTTTAAAGGAAATTCTGTGAGTCTTCTCATAGCTCTTTCTTAAGGCCCTCCCTTCCTCCCTCCCTCTCTCCCCCACTCCCTTCCTTCCTTCCCTCCTTCCTTTCCTTCCTTCCATCCCCTGCTAATTTTGGGGCAGAGAAGAAGTGAGATCCCACTAATAATGAGTAGTTGTTGAAATTCTGGGAAAGGCTGGGGATCGCACACTGCTTTATCTTCTAGAAGCCCTCAGGAGGTTGCTGGTATTCATTCTCATTTCCTGTTCTTACCCCATCTTTGGTATCTCCCTCTTTTTGCCTCTGGGACCCTTTTTCTCTGGTTTGGGGTTACCTTTAGGGCCCCCAGACCTCGACCATACTCTAGCCTGGGTACTTCCCAGGACTGAACTCCACGGTTCATTCCTCCCTGGCTACCAGTTGTCACTACCTTTATGCAAATCAGCCTAATGAAGCTGGGTCTCGGTGTATATTTGCCCACTTCTTTTTCCTAATGGTGGCCTGATTACTCCAGGTTCCTCTCTGCTTTTGTGAACCTGTTGTCCCTCTGGCTACTACAGGCTCTAAACACTCTCCGTTCATTGATGTCATAAGTGATTAATCTCTGGCTTGTTTCCTCCTGTCTCCCCCAGAGTGTGTGCAGTGCCCATTCATCAAGATGCCCAGATAATTGAAGCAATCCACCTTCATTCGGGCCCTGCTCTGGGCAGTGACGCCAGCCTGGCGATCTGCAGTGCTCAATGTGATTACTCTTTCTTAATGAATCCCTGGGGCTCCTCAGTCCCCTGCAGAACCACATCACCTTGAATGGCTTTTCTGTAAACGCCTCCCTTTCCTCCCCATCAAGTCCTTCTGTGGATTTTAATCCTAGGCTGGCTTTAGCAGTATAGACAGTTCTGACTTACATTTTTTTTTTTTGCCTCTGCAATGTTGCAAAAACAATATGCATTCAGTAGAAATTGTACTTTAAAGTTTGACTTTTGATCTTTTCCCAGGCTAGCGATATGTGGCACGGTACCCTCTCTTGACGCTGGGCAGTGGTGGCAAGCACAGCTCCCAGTCAGCCATGCAATCATCAGGGTAAATGACCAATACTGTGTTCTACAATGTGTTGTATTCAATACATTCTACGAGATATTCAACACTTTCTTACAAAGTAGGCTTTGTGTTAGATGACTTTGCCCAACTGTGGGCTAATGGAAGTGTTCTGGGTATGTTTAAGGTAGGCTAGGCTAAGCTCTGATATTCAGTAGGTTAGATGTACTAAATGCATTTCTACTTAGAATATTTTCAACTTGTGATAAGTTCATCATGAGGTGACCCCACTGTAAGTGGAAAAGCATCGTAGTTTTACTGTGACCCGGTGATGAACTGTTACATTGAAGAACCAGGCAGATAAGATGGGCTTAAACTGTGGTTTGAGGGAGTCGAGTTGGCCATTAAAAATTTTTTTTCTCTGAAGCTCGGGGAAACTGAAATATGCTACTAAGAAGGGTGATGGGAGCTTTTAAAGAACTCTAGGGAAAAGGGATAAAGGCGGGTTTCTTTTGAGAGACTGCCGTTAGAGAATTGAATGGCCTCTTCCCCGCCTTCCCAATGCAAGGAAAATTCTTAGAACGGGAAGAGAGCTGAGCAATCATCTATTTCAACCTCCTTCTCAATGCCAATCTTGGGATCTTTCTACCTATCATGAATCCTTCTTCATTATTCCTGTATTCACTCATTTCACAGATACGTGTGGCTCAGGACACCATGCTGTCAGTTTCCTATCCTAAGCACAATGTAACAACTCATATTGGCCACGTAGTGTTACGGTAACATGGAGGAATAAAAAAGTTGTATAAACAGCATCAAGATTGCCTTAAGACTATCACGCTAATAGAAGCAATAAAGATCACCAGCTATTTTAGGGTTTATTCTGCAAGGGAGGATTTGCACCTAAGGGGACATTATCTGTTCCAACTAATATCAATTAACAACAGTAGTGAAACTAAGAGGCATAATTTCTACCACCAAAACCTCTCATATGTGTCGTTTTTAAAATGAGCCTATGGGTTTTGAGGGCAGGACTTAGGTCTTACATTTCTGTGTCTCTCCTCTGTATTGCCAGATACATAGACAACACTCACATTCCTACAATGCCTATTCCTTAAGTTAGTACTTCCCAATTCGAGGAACAAAGATTCACGTTAGAAGAAAAAATTCTCTGAATCTTTGAGATTATACCCACTTTTGAAATATTGCACTAAGACCAGGCACAGGGGATTACAGGGGGATTACAGGGGGCTCACACTTGTAATCCCAGCACTTTGGGAGGCTGAGGCAGGTGGATCACAAGGCCAGGAGCTTGAGACCAGCCTGGCCAACATAGTGAAACCCCGTCTCTACTAAAATACAAAAAAAAATTAGCCAGGCATGGTGCCAGGTGCCTGTAATTCCAGCTACTTGGGAGGCTGAGGCAAGGAGAATCACTTGAGCCTGGGAGGCAGAGGTTGCAGTGAGCCGAGATGGCACCACTGCACTCCAGTCCAGGCGAGTGTTGGACTCCGTCTCAAAAATAAATAAATAAATAAAAAGAAAAGAAATATTGCACTAAAAGTTGGTAATTACTTGGGTGCTAATGGAATGGTAAATTAAAATGCATGATCAAGCACTGATTAACATTAGAGTGAAAATACAAAAATTAAATATCTCAAAACTCTTAGACTCAACAATATATTCTCAACCCTCTCTTCCATCTTCCATCCTATACCTGCTTCCTACCACTCCTTTCCACTGTAATCCAAGTTTGAGAGACACCGAGGTAAGTCTTGAGAGCTATTATTAAAATATCAAAATAACTCATCTGTGAATGCCTTAGCTTCAGTGATCTCATTAGATCAGTCAGCCCTCCCCTAGCAGTGCACCAGGAGAGGAGACACAGGCCAGTTGCATTTTTATGGCAATGCGAGGCAGGTTGAAAACATCTAGAGCTTTAGATCCTGATTAGCTTCTGCAGGTCAAGCTTTTCTGCATCAGGTGAAGAACCAGCAGGAAAACCATCAAGGGTGGTGGGAATTTTGAGAAAGAGGTGGTGGTTACTGATGCCGGATGCTGCAGGCAAGCAACCTAAACACGAGAAATTGGATGTATTCTGCAATGCACTGCCTGTCAAGAGAGCAGCATCAGGAAAATGGAAAAAAGAAATGGAGCAAAATAGCAGCAGCAAATTGGGCATTAAGTAGGAGGAGAGAAAAGAGAGAGTGACTAGAAGGGAAGGGGCAGAAGTTGAGGAGGGACAGAGATCAAAGAAAGCCTTTGCTTATTTAGTTTTTGCACAGGAAAATGAGCATACGTGTCTCTGAAATGACTGAAGATTCTAGAGAAGTGGTGGAAGTGATGGAACAAGGGCCGCCAGGTGGGACTGAACCAAGGGTGTGGGAGGAGGAATTAGCCACAGGCGGGAGGGGGGAGATTCTCGGAGAAGCAGGTAATGAGGCCTCTGACTGTACCTGGCAGAAACCAATTTAAATCTATTAAAACAAACAAACAAAAAAGAGCGTGGCTGGGCCCCAGGACCACCTGCAACCAGGACTTCTCTTTACGTCTGTTTGACTCCAATCTCAGCTCTCCCCACCTGCCGCCCACCCACCCAGGTCCTATCTTCTTCATCCTGGTGGAGAAACACAGCTGCCATCAATTCCCAAATGTTTATCTTCACAGGTGCAGCCATGGGAGAAAGGCTACACTAACCTCCTTGGCCTCAAATCCAAAATTCTAAAGAAAGGTTGTCACTGGTCCATCTTGAGTATTTATTTATTTGCTTGTTTGTAGGTTTAAGTAAAACTCATTACTTTCGATTTTCCAGCTTTATTTTTTCAAATAAATTTTATTGTGCATATTTGATGTTAACAGCATGAGGTTATGGGATTCATTTGACAGTAAAATCATTACTATAGTGAAGAAAAGCAACATGTCTTGCCTTGAGTATTTAGGAACTCAATTATGGGTCAGTGAATTCTGGCTAATTCTGGCTGTGGACAGGAGGTCCTATGGAAGCACACGTCAGAACCCATAGGTGCCTCACAGATGGAGTGGAAGGAGGAGCAGTTTTCATTGAAGAGGGAGGGTCTGGTCAACAGATAGGAATCTATCCACAAATTCAGTCTGGGGGTGGAGAGTTCAGAAAATCTGAGAGGTTCATAACTTAAGTATTTTTTGTTTGTTTCGTTGGTTTTTGTTCTTGTTGCTATTGAAGTTAGGGTCTTCCATGAATTAGGGGATAGATGACGATTTGGGCTATACATTGTTTGGAACTCTACCATGTAAAATGAGAACACCAGCATAAGGACTGACCAATGTTGAGAAGCAGCTGAGGGTAGAAGGTGTGTCGCAGGATCAACCCAGACTTATTCGTTTAAGGAATGTTATTGATGGCTATCTTTGGTATCACCCAGCATCCTGGACATAGTGGCGTAAAAACATAGTTGGGTTGATCCAAGGTTGGAGAGTGGAAATATAGGTGTTTTGGGCATGGCAGTGGGGACAAAGGAACTTGTGGGAGGAAGGGCTGAAGGGGGGATCTACCTGCACAAGGAGACTGTGAGATGACTGGCACAGGGAAGAGGAGAGAGAGCTTGGGAAGCAATCAGGAAATGGTGACAAAAACCGTTGTGTCTCAGTGGTGCCTCTTACCATGCCCAAGGGAGATGACCTCTCAGGCAGAATGAACACACCCTGGGTGCTCAGGAAAGTTCCATGAAATTATCAATGGCACCTCTTTCTGTTATTGAGAGATCCCCCATTTGGATGCTGAATCATGTGGTCAGTCCACCCAATGTCAGGTCTGAAGTGACTGAGGAAAATGGCTTCTCGGGATGTCAACTTCGTGTGCTGCAGCCCCAGACCCATTGGTTGGAAGGAGCAACCCTGGCTTTCCACCTGCTTGTTCCTACCTCTTGTTTCTACCAAGGGTAATGGAGACTCTCTTCTCTTGTTCCTACCAAGGGAAACAGAGACTCCTTTAAAGTCTCCAGCACTGGCAGATTTGGAGTCTAAAGAGAAAGGATCAGAGACAGAAACAAAGCTACCCTGGCCTGGCCTGCCGGCTGACTGCAGGAAGAGCCCACATACACTTGAGGCAGAACGGAATGGCAGTGGCGTGAAAATACTGCCCATACCCTAATTGTGCTCCCTGAGGCCATCTGATACACCGAGGGTGCCTCAGGGCAGGAAGTCCCAGAAACCACAGGCAATTTCTGGCCACATACTTCAGCTTTTCTTGGCACGAAAAAGGCAAGGGTCATGCCTGAATGGCTTTGTATCGCCCACAGCCAAGACCAGTCTTGCCCACAGTAGATTCTCAATACATACTTACATGATCAATGGACTGTCCTTTTCAGGGCAGATTAGAATGGTCAGAGATGCCACAGTTGAACCTGGCTTGCAGACAGACCTAACTGTGCAAGAATAGACCACAGGAGATGGGGCAGCTGAGAATGGGGTAGCAGGCTGGAAGGAGCTGGGGTGGAATTTTTTCCTGACCCCAGCTGGTGATCAGCTTATGCCCTAAAGCAGAAGGATTAATAACCAGGGTAATTTTATCCCAGTCAGAATGTAACTACAGATGTGGGGCTTAATGGGCGAAACAGCTAATCCCTTCTCCATTTGGCTCACTTATGAAATACAGCGAAATACGATGCCTGGGGCTATCAAAGCACGATTTCCTCCTAGGCCTGCTGCTGGGTGCAGCCCCACTCTCCTGGGCGACAGGGCAGCTGTCTGTGGACAGTCGTCTGGGCCCTGACTATTGGATGGACTGACGTTGCCGTTGGCTGAGGGTGGAGGGGAAAGGAAGAGGCGTGTGTGTGTGTGTGGGGGGGCGGGGGGGAGTTGGGGAAGGGAGGGTGGAGCTGAAGGAAAATGTCAGGTGTTGGAGCGGGAGGGTGCATGGAGAGGATGGAGGAATAAAAGACTTGGAAAAGATTCGTTGCAACCCCAAGTTGCGAAGGCTGGAGGTATGGGGAGGCAACAGGAGGAGGGCGTGAGGCTAAGGGGGCGCACCTGGGTGTACACGTGGCCCAGATCAGAGCCAGCACGCTTCGGGGATTTGCAGCATGGTCAAAGTGGAAGGCTCTAAAGCCAGGGGACTCAATTAATCAAAGAGCTGCTGCTGATGGAGCAAAGATGAAAGGGTTTACAGGCCAGCCAGTGAAACGCTTGGAGTTTTTCCCCGGGCAACCAGCCTGAGGCGAGTAACAGGAGACATGGTTGGTGCTGAGGTCTGGGGAGTCCATTGCGGCGGCGGGAGGGAGACACGCAAGGAGCCCCAATGGGTATTAAGGAGTGGGCGGGGCCCGGGCAATGGGGCGTGGCCCCCGAGCCATCTCTAGGCCTAGCGCCGAGAACTCGGGAAGGGGCGTGGCCCCTGAGCCGAGTTCTAGCGCGGGGAATCCGGAAGAGGCGTGGCCCCCTGAGCCGTCCCGAGGCCGAGGGCGGGGAATCCGGAAGGGGCGTGGCCCCCTTTGCAGTCCCGAGGCCTAGCGCGGGGAATCGGGAAGGGGCGTGGCCCTCCCCGAGCTGGCGCCTGGGAGGCTCCCACCTGCCCGCGGTTGCACGTGGCCGCCTGCCCCCATCCCCGCTACCTACAGCTGGTCTCTGCGCGCAGCCTCCTGCCGGGCGTGGCCAGCCGTGCACATCATCCCCCGCTGCTGGCCGGGTGGTCGCCTCCCTCACGTCCCCGACTCCCCAACGCTTCTCGGCGGGGTGCGCCCGGGGCGCGGGAAGCCTGGGTCATTGACACCCACCGTCCCGGGCCCGGGCTCGGTCCTGGCGCTCCCAGTTCCCCGCCTCTTCGCCCCTCCCGTCTTTTCCGTCCCAGCCTGATGGAGCAGACGAGGCTAAAGCTTCGTTCCAGACACTTTAAGAAATGTCCCGGGATTCTTGGAAGTTGTTGAGGAAAAGCAGAGTCCCTGGCATCCCCATCCAACGCTCCCGAACCGGAGATAGCATG